TTTTCCCAAACACACATGCTGAGCAATCGTTGAACGGGTTTTCTCTCCAACCAGGAGGACGTGTGGGAGGAGTTGTGAAGAAGGAGGTGGGTCGCGTATCGGCAGGTAGGAATTGTGTATCCACAGTACTAACCGATTCTCCGTTGTTACATAACATAAAAACAAAAAATGAAATCAACTACTTTTTGAGGTATTCTGCAGTTGATGTACACCTGGCTGATCAAACAAACTTAAAAGTGAATAATACATGAATGAAATCGGTTTATCCGTCTTATTTGCAGTATTTCGTTTTCTGGATTTACGTGTTTCGTTCAGGTGTCGAGGAGAAGAAAGGAATAATGACAACGAGTAAAACGATAAAGTGATTTTATAAATCTATCTAAATCAAGCAATTTGGCTCCCTCGTTTGTGCATGAAAACGTTTTCTCCAGTTTCTTTCCAAAATACGTCGTGGTATCCTTCGAATTCTGTGTCGTCGTACAGTCACGTCTACCGCAAAGTGGGTGGACAGTTCAATCCCACGGAACCCATTACAATATCTACTAAATCGGGTGAAATCACCGTCAATAGGTGGACGTTTTGTGGAAGACAAAGAAACTGAAATAACAACGCTGGATAATGACTCACATATTGCTTCGCAAGATGAGATTGGTTCCCAGTGTTCGACGGGAGTGATCGTAAATACAGGTCCTCGTTACAAAGTAAACCGAATCAATGGTATCCTCCATTATGTAGAGGAACTTGATTTTTATTCATCGGAAAACTTGCAAAACAGAAACCCAGTGTAGCGGGAAATGGAAAAATGTGATCCGATTTTTGACTGCCAGATCTCAAGGGATTTGACGATCTATATGGTTTCCGGTTTCAATAACCACATGGAGCGTCTCATGCAGTTGCTCGCGCAAACGGTCTTACAGGCCAAGATAATAGCGGAAGAATTGGAGATTGCCGAACGAAGTATTCGTTTTGAGCAGCAGGCCCTGAAACGTACACCCATCCTTATGGAGTTAGTGCATGCAGCTGGCTTTAGTGGAAATAGGACACTGGGCTTACCGCGCTACTGTTCGCAGGGGAATTCGGGTGTGATTAATTGAGACCACATTAGCAATTTTTTGGCTAACTACTATCGACCGGAGCGGATTGTCGTTTCCAGGGTCGGAAGGGATAGCGAGGCGTTTGTAAAATCGATAGACAAAGCTTTCTGTCCATGTAAACCCAACACTTGTCGCGAGCCAACCACACTCAGTTTACCCGAACCAGATAATTCGGTTGCACAATAAACCGGCCAATACGAGATGATTGAACGTGATCTAGAAAGTCATCATGCCCCGATGCCGGAATTTGCAAACGAGGTCATCGGACCGGAGTCGTGCGGTTATCCAGATTCACATTTTGTTACAGCGTGTCTATTACACTCATTGCTCGTGGTGGAGGTTCGTTCTCGGCTAGTGGTTCGGGTAAAGGAAAGTACAGTGGACTGTACGTAAGTGTGTTCAACCACCAACGGACCGCCACCAAAACCGGCGCACGAAACTGCATGGTTGTATGGTTGTACAAACTGAAGCTGAACTGAAACACCGGTCCCCAATGGATTGCGGTTTTCGCACACCACCCGCTGCCTCGCGGGTCAGGCTTTGGCTAACTGAAGGCTCTGGTTGTGGATTCCCCAATAAAATTCATCTCCTTTGGCCTGGGCAACCTGGCAGTATTCGGCCTACATGCAAATCATGGAACGTTTCTCTTTTTCATAAATATTATTGTACCATGATTTATTTTGCACCGTCTGGATTCAGGCGTATGCGTTTAAAAAATATACACTAATGGTCAGGTAGCTTCAAAACTGTCTCTTCATTCTGTTGCTACACGATAAAGTCTAATCCCTTTTGTGCAATGCTGTCTAGTACACGGAGCTCACATTTGTCCCAGACTTTCAGAGTATGGCCCTGAGGGAAATTTTCCATGCCTGTCAGAAGGAAGAATGAAACAAGAATGTTTTTTTAATTGAACAGAGGGAATACCGTGGATGAATAGAGTTGTTTGTGCAGTGCGTATTGTGCTTGCCGTGAAATCGCAATCAAAGCGATCGTGGTGGCTAGCTCGATAGATTCGTTCTGCTAGCTGAGATCCTAACGGATCTGAATGGTTGTGCCATGTTTCCCTCAGTGCATCGGTTCATGCTTTCTGAGCTCGATGAACAACGTTACATGTCTCTCATAAGTTATATTACTATCCAGCCATATGCAACATTAATGCAGCATAAATCACGAATCTCCCGGCTCCGATGAATTCCCGTGTTGCCCTAGTGGCTACTCTTCCGATTATTCTTGCGTTGTCCAGTACGCATCTCAGCATCTATGTGGATTGAGATTCGCGATTTATGGTCGTGTCATGTATCGCCAGTGTGTGTTCGTGTCGTCATGTAGAAGAAATCACTAGATATATTGGAAAAAATCATTTTTGAAACCAGTTGTCATCAGTTCATTGAGATCGAGTTAATCCCAACTGAATCATAAATGCAGATGATCGTGACAGTCACCACATTTCAATCCAAACAACGGGTAACGTGACTCAACTGACTAAGGTAAGCCATCTGGTGGGAATCTCAAGTAGGCGGCTGCTACGCAGTAAATATAACACCCATCTGACAAACACTTCACTGCTCACCTTTTCACATAAATACAAGAGTACAATGACCCATGCTACAGTAAACGTCTCATACTGGTACAGTAATGTTGCAAATGGCTGGATAGTAATATAACTTATGAGAGACATATAACGTTGTTCATCGAGCTCAGAAAGCATGAACCGATGCACTGAGGGAAACATGGCACAACCATTCAGATCCGTTAGGATCTCAGCTAGCCACACACTCACTATTCATCTCATCAACTCCATTCATCCACAGAATTCCTCTGTTCAATTAAGAACACATTGTGGACATACCAGGACGGTTTCATTTAGGTCTATAAACCTCTAAGTATGTGAGCACCTTGTTCGAGACAGCATTGCACACAACGGATTGTACTTTGTCGTGTAGTGATCATCAAATATGGTAATTGTCATGATCATATGCATCTGTGATTCAGTTGGGACTAACCCGATCGCAATGAACCGATGACAACTAGTTTCAAAAATGATTTATTTCCGAGTGTATCTGGTGTCTTCCAATAGTGCTTGTTTTTCTTAAGATTATGTGACGAATGGGTCACCAGCGTTGGTTTAATCCCTTTTCTTCGTTTTGGACGCGGCCACATACACACATTGTCTTGTTTCCAGCTACAGCACGTCAATCATTCTACCCGAAGTGATCGATGCGAATCTTTGGCAGAATCTGCAGTTCCTTTTGCAAGTGATTCTCCAATCTGAGACATGAATAAAGCGGCATTGACCGAGGTGGAGCTTTCAAATATCTGAAACAATCCACCAAACTTACGCTTCAACTCAAACCCTTACTTCCGAACTGATTCCCTTGCTACTTAGGGAAAATCAGGCGATTATTGTCCGTCAACCATGTACGAACATGTACTCAAAATCTTTTCGGACGAAGCATCATCAAGAGCATTATCATTCTATGTGAAGTAACAAATAAAATTTAATTGCCTCTTCTATGTCATCCACTTCTATTCAGCCATTTCATGCAAATCCGCTTTAGTTTAACCTTACGTGTCACTCCCAAACGCGTCCTCTATATACTGCGAGTAAAACGCCGATAAAGTACACAAGGGAAATGATCTGTTGAAGTTTTAGGTAGAAAAACACACGACCAAAGTATCATATTTCATTGAATTCCTTAATGAATACATGAAGAGCAACAGTGAGACGTTTGACTAGCGCATCAATATTACAAGACCGTAATGTTCGTTCATATGCTCATCGGGAATTTTGGATACCGTAAAATATTCCCATTGATGCATAAGAACAAAGTCAAAACGCGAAGAAATTTGTTTTCCATATCTCGCTTTAAGCATTTCCATATTTACTTCGATTAGTCAGCAGATTAATACGAGGCCTAGGCTGAAGTTGAGTGAATGCCTGTGCGCGAAATATTTGGTTGACAACAGGCTATGGGATCACGACAATTGGATAGGGAAAAGCCGAATGAAAAATGTATGAACTGGAGATGATATGAAAAATATTAGTCTGGAATTAATTAAACATTTGTGAAATTTTTCGAAAAAATCAGTAAATGGGGAGTGGTTGGAGGGAGGGAATAGGTGTCACATATGAGATATGGGTAATTGTTCTTATGGCCACGGTAACAACAGTGCCTGAACCAGATTACGTTGTTTGCACGACTCCGGCTTCATGATCGTTTGTACACTAACCGGACGTCGTAAATGGAGGGAGTATTTGATGCGGACATGCTCCCATATGCCATTAGACGTGTCCTCGACAATTGTCAACACTACAAATGATTCACTTCTGCTAAGCGTTTGTTGAAGTATGTTAAACCCCTTAAATGTACAAAAAAGCAGTTATCATTATCTGATATCGCGCACCCTGGGTTAAATCTTTGAACAAGTGGTCTATAGTGCGTTGAAATTTCTATCTGCAGTATTAAAAATGTCAATGTGAGATTACCATCCTTTTCAACGTTACGTACCGCATGTTAAGGCCTCATTGAATTCATTCTTTATTCGCAAAGCAGACGTCACGTTATAATTCTAAACTGACCTTATTTTGACCTCATTCTAGGCAAAAACACATCACTTTTATATTGCAAAGGAACTAATGCCGATAGTACTTGCTTCCTTATTAATCTAAGCCCCGAGCGGTGACAGGTTGCCTAAGGAAGTTTATCTGCGTTGAATTCGGTAGGGGGCTTTTTGTTCCCAATACTGAGGCCTGTTGGTTTGAGGGTGCTGTTTTGAATTTCCATCTAGAACCGGGAGTCGACATCTTGTTTTGGAGCTAGACGGTTGATGAACAATAAGTTGAGTAAATGGATCGACCAATTCAAAATGCATCATAATTACGTCAGCAATTGGATACCAGACATACTAGGTACGGCTTGCTATTTTGTGTGGGTTTTACTCCTTGAAAGGTCCCATTTTCTCACATGGTTACTGTATTTTAGTGGTCACCGCTGTTTTTTCGTGCTCCATCAACTGTGCTATGGAGCAATGTGATCTATATCAATCATAGTTTACGGGTGGCACATCCTCATTCTTCTGGTTAAAGCTTTGAATAAATAAATACCAGACAACCAAACTTCGGCAACTACGATCGCTCTGAGACAGGTTAGTATAGTCCTCCCTACTTTCGTGTATATAACCTCCCTCGCTTGCATTGATCAAAACTCATCTTATTCTCCACATTACTTAATTGTTTTTTCAAAACTTACCGCCATACGGACATCATAACCATTTCTTCAAACTTCTGCCTTCAAAGCACCGGTCTACAGTTGTTCCCTGAGCTGGGATTACAATCGGAGCACCAGTGTACGCTTTCGTTCACACCGCTACAGGAAGTCCTTTTTCAATGAGCTCATGCAAGTGATTGACGAGGATCAAACCGAAACGAGGTGAGATACAGATTCATCGTGCACCAGACAGAAACAGTCTANAACAGTCTAAAATGGAAAAGCAACTCTACATTACGGTGCAGCCCTTACAATCCTCGTTGAGCCTTAATCTGCGTCAACACAGGTGGGATCTAAGAGAAAAAATGCAAGCATACCAAACTAATCAACCCACCGGCGAAATACAGGTCAAACCGGACAGCTAGACTACACTTCATGCATGAAACAACTGGGGCTACCTCCACGAGCACGAACGGGTCTACTAATATGCCATTTCAGTGTGGAAACGAAAACTCTTTCCATCAGCTATCCGTGATTTATCAGCCGAAAAACAAGTCCCTTTCCATGTCCGTCTACATGTCGCGGTAGCGTGCAATCTAGCGTTCTGTCGGCCTGACTCGTGACCATCACAATAACGCATATCAAAAATATGAAATTTGATGCAAAGAATAATTTTAAAGAAAATTAAGTAATTTCAACCGGAAGATAAACTCTGCACGTACTAGCAGTGTTTCAGTGGTTAACACGACTGTATTTTGCAGACGTTCACGGGAAATGGGCGACCGATCTGAAGCAGTTCTGAATGACTGTCCGTAGAGTAGGAACGGCAAAATGATCACGCCCCTGGAAACGTTTATTGAACAGCAGTCCGAATCGTATCCACGGTATCTCGTGGCCGGACTGTGATAAAATGACAGTGTGAATATTTCTTAGCTAAGTCGAGCGAATACAGAGTGACATGATGATCGGTACCGGTGCAGTACACAGTCCGTCAGATATCAGGGTCAGTCCCGCGTGCGAGTGAACTGTTGGCTTACATACTGTTCAATCGATGATTCGGTCCACGGTGGGGACACCGATTTTCGGACCTGCGGGGTCAGAACGTATTGTATAGACAAACATATATGACTCATAGACAGTCCGGCGATAGTTGTTGCGTTCGAAGCCGTGTTGGCGATTCACGGGGCATAAGAAAACTGTCAGTACTAGTAACTAGAATCCGAATTGTACAGATCATATTCTGAATGTATATCCACTAGTACTCAGACGTTTGTGTGCAGTATAACATACTGTCACTTTAAAACTGTAAGGGCTTGAAAATGGTCCTGTTTTGAATGATATCACCATTGTTTTGGTAAATGACGGAACGTTTTCAATCCATTTTCATCCATATCTGGCAACTGGTGATCTAATTCACGTTGTTACTTGGTTCAGCCAAGTGTATACTGTCTCACTAAGAAAAGCACCGTATTTAGTACACATCAGTCAAACGAGTTGTGTTCATGTCTCACTGGAACTTTTGGTTCATGGTTGCTTTTGGAATTTCCCCCGTCTTACAGGCCGTTTGGAAGCCCATTACACGGAGAAACTGTCGTCAGAAGTGTCTCCTATCTGTACATTGGGAGTGTCTGTACTGGGCCGCGTTTGCCAGTTGGTTAAACATCCAAAACAGGGTTTCTTAGCGGCATTCTGACAGCGCTGTTGGCATCAGATAGTCGAATCGTGTTACCCAAAATCAACCTCCTGCCGTGTATTACGAATCGGTGGCAACATTGGACCAAGTCCTTCACGTTACACTCCTAACTGGTGGTGACGTGATGTGAACCCACGATTTTACCGTCCGGAACATGCCAGTGACAGCAAATTTAGCTACTCAGTCTATGTACACCATCATATGCGCATTAATTCAAGACCTGAAGTGGTTCGTCGATCAGCTTTCATTGCCAACTTTTGATGAAGTCACAAGTCATTCGTGAAAATTGGTCAGTAATTTATCTCACATAATATGCAAAGTATTTCGTGTACTGCTCACATAGCCTACGTACCCAATCCAAAGTTCAGACATCGCATTTTTATCTTCATGACTGCCCAAACATTCCATTATTTATCGACCTGCTACTTTCAGTGAACCTATGGCTGCTTTTTTAGCTGTTGGGAGCTGTTTCATTTGAGTGCATGCCTCCTCATTATCGTT